GTACGGGCCGTAGAGGGCTATTTATAGATGGGACTGGCATGTGATTGGAGCATTTAGTTCTCTCTGGCGGGAAGCTAGGTGCTTCTGGAGTATACCCATAGCGAAGCCTAAGGGGCTACGCACCATTCGTAGAACTTGAGTTACATTAGGTAACTATCAATTCTGGAAGAAAACCTGTTGGAGTCTGCAAAAGACCTGAGACTGGGACGGAGATTTATCTTCCAACAGGACAATGATCAAAAACATAAAGACAAATCTACAATGGAATGGTTCACAAATAGACTTATCCAGGTGTTAGAATGGCCAAGTCAAAGTCCAGACCTGAATCCAATCGAGAATCTGTGGAAAGAGCTGAAGACTGCTGTTCACAAACACTCTCCATCCAACCTCACTGAGCTCGAGCTGTTTTGCAAGGAAGAATTCCAGTCTCTCGATGTGCAAAACTGATAGAGACATATCCCGAGCGACTTGCAGCTGTAATTGCAGCAAAAGGTTGCGCTACAAAGTATTAGCGCAAGGGGGCCGAATAATATTGCACGCCCCACTTTTCAGTTTTTTATTTGTTAAAAAAGTTTAAATTTCGTTCCACTTCACAATTGTGTCCCACTTGTTGTTGATTCTTGAAAAAAAATTAATTTTTATATCTTTGTTTGAAGCCTGAAATGTGGCGAAATGTTGAAAGGTTCAAGGGGGCCGAATACTTTCGCAAGGCACTGTATGTTGTGAACAAATTAAACAGATTTAGAGCCAGCAAATGGCTGACAATATGCATTTCAGTCTTTTTTGACCAATTCTCATCCCTGTAACAAACAATAGTGTTGTCTGTGTCCACCTCCTTCACTCTGAGACATATTTATTACTCTCTTGTAATGCAGACTATTGCATTGTATTTTATTGTTGAAACTGCACATATCATGATCCTCCACAGTATTTGCTTCCACATACTGTATAAACCAGGAGTCGGCAACCTGCGGCACCGGAGGCGCATGCGTCTTTTTCCTTGTGTAGAAGGAAAAACGTTCTTAACGTTTTTAAATGCTGTAAAATTGTGCATAAGTAATATTCAATTAAAAAATTTCTTTCAACGTGTCTGTCAAACCGGCGTGTGAGCATCATAGACTGCGCATTGATCCCAAAGCTAAAAAGAGAAGAGTCGATAATAAGACTGGACTAAGAATGAAAATTAACATTTACTTTCAGTCAATGAGGAAGGACTGCTTCATGTTTGTGATGTAATGAGAAGTTTCTATGAGATAATTGTATCTGTGCTTAGAAACTACAAAAATGGCCGCTCGGGGTGGAGTTGAACCTGTGTCACCTGGATGGGGGCGTGGTCAAAAGCGCCTCATTTGCATTTAAAGAGACAGCACCAAGGGCGACAGTAGCTCAGTTGGTAGAGCACTGGCCTTCAGGCCTAAAGGTCGTGGGTTCAATTCCCACCTCTCCACCGACTCCCACTGATGACCGCTGTCGTTGTGTCCTTGGGCAAGACACTTAACCCCACTTTGCCCAAAGCCCCCACTGAAAGATCAAGGCTATGCTCACACTCAGAGAGCAGCCGTCCTCCTGTGGACTCACCACCTGCAGAGGGTCAGTGAGGGGCTGGTGCTATGAGACTTGGATGGCATCTCTGATTGCCACCCCCCTGACCCAGAAATGTATTAAAGGGTAGAAAATGGATGGATGGATGGATGGAGACAGCACCAAAACAGGTTGCTCTCAGACGCACCTCAGAACAGGTTTAGAAGAAAGGCCCGTGGAGCTACAAAAATTGAGACTCAGACCCAGGCATTGCAGTTACGCTTTATATAGGCCACAAATTAATGATTTAGATGTAAAAATCAATTATTTGAAAACACAATATGTCCACTTTAACCCTCTATGCACATGGGTCATTTTGGGGAACTTTCCTCGCCTGGTTTTCTTTGTGTATAATTGTTCATAAAACAGTCATCTTTTGAGGAAGAGTCAAGCAGTATACTTTGTTTTTTTCAGTACAACCTGTGGTTTTATAATATTCTTATTGTAAAGCTGTCATATGAATTATATAAAAATGATGGAATTATAAAGACAAAGAAAAAAATCAAACGGAAAATCAATTTAACAAAAATGTATTGAAAAAACACAATGAAATGCTATAAACAACTTTTTACACTGCATAGAAATGTTATTTATGGTCTTGGGGATAATGGGGAAAAAAATTGAATCTCTAACTATTATACTTTTTACAAAATTCCACTATAAAAGCAAAAAACTCTGTACTCCTGATGCCCTTCCTGAAGCAGTTTGTCTATAATGCTGGGGTTGCTTCTGTAGTACAGCTGTAAAAAACGTAAAACATAAAAAACTGAGCCAAAAAAAAAAAAAACATCAATTATTTATATAATACATATATTTATATACATCATATACACATAATGTCATTTTACTGTATTTATTATCGTCTTAATCAATAATGCGCACTCTTCAGCCGGTTATTGCAATCGCAGCTGTAGTTTCAACTGTGGGACAACAAGGAAACGCAGAGGAGTGAGAGATCTCACTCTCTGACGATCTTTGGCAGTCCCCGTGTGTTTGTATCTCACAGCTGTTTGTACCTCACGGGTCACGCTTTGGACACGGACTTTCAGACAAACGTAGTTTATCCTCCGTGCATCGCAAAACTAGTTTCGGAAAGCCCTGAATACGTACTTCACAGAGGAAAAAAAAGTAAGTTCCTATGTTTTACCGTTCGCGAGTAAATTGATCATTTGTAAAACATGTGCGCGTGCATCGGCGCCGATGCACGCGGGCATATAGGGTTAACAGATAATTCTGAAAACTGTGCACGTGTGTTAAGAATGCATATGTATAATGTATTCTCCGATTAACATTGAAATGTGTTGATTGTTTGTTATTCGTGTCTATTGAGCGTGGCTAGCTCCGATAGCTTCACTCGCGGATACAGTAGTAGTGACGTAGCCGGTTGTGACAAAGTGGCCGGACTACTTGCGGAGTAATCTACACACCTGAATTACAAGCAGAGATTGCGTTGCCATGGGTAGTGGTCATTATTGTTTGGGGAGGTCGGTTATCAAGAAATAATGACCAATAGAACGTTTTGAAATTACATTCAAATAAATTGAATGTTCTACTGCTGCTGTGAGGAGCCGTATAATAGAATCAGAATCAGAATCAGAATCATTTTTATTGCCACGTAAGTAACAGGAGGTCACAGACTAGGAAATTGCTTTGGCTCAGTGCAACAGTCAAAAAGAGATAATAAAAATAAGAATAAAAAACACTTCTAAAGAATAAATTTACATTTAAAATAGAGTTACAGTTACTATTTACAATATACAAGTGCACATGGTGCACACAATGTAAGGTGAACAGCAGTACAGTGAAGTAAAGTGACGTATGATGGGCAGTAAAGTGACTTTATAAAGGGCGGGGGGACAGGTTAAGAAGTGTTCAAGAGTCCAACAGCAGAGGGGAAGAAACTGTTCTTGTGGCGGGAGGTTCTAGTCCTGATGGACCGCAGCCTCCTGCCTGAGGGGAGTGGTTGGAATAGTCCATGTGCAGGGTGAGAGGGGTCGGCTGTGATACGACCAGCCCGGCCTCGAGCTCGGGCGACGTACAGGTCCTGCAGCGATGGAAGGCTGCGGCCGATCACTTCCTCTGCAGAGCGCACAATGCGCTGTAGTCTCTGTTTGTCCCTGACTGTGGCTCCAGCGAACCACACGGTGACGGAGGAGGTGAGGATGGACTCGATGATGGCCGTGTAGAACTGCACCAACATCTGTGCAGGCAGCTTGGCTTTCCTGAGCTGCCGCAGGAAGTACATCCTCTGCTGGGCCTTCTTGATGAGGGAGCTGATGGTCGGCTCCCACTTGAGGTCCTGGGTGATGGTGGTGCCCAGGAAACGGAAGGACTCCACAGAGGTGATGGGGGAGTCCATCACGGAGGGTGGGGGTGGGGGGACAGTGCTCTTCCTGAAGTCCACAATCATCTCCACTGTCTTCTGGGCGTTCAGCTCCAGGTTGTTACCACTGCACCAGGACACCAGCCGGTCCACCTCCCTCCTGTAGGCGGACTCATCGTTGTTGGAGATGAGTCCAATGAGGGTGGTGTCGTCCGCGAACTTGATCAGCTTCACGGAGAATAAACAGCAATAATGATTTGCAGCAAGCACATTCACCCCAAATGTTCAAAAGACATTCATCAAATGAATGTGGTATCATCTTGTTATTAGTCATGGATACATTACAATCTATTAATTAGAAATCATATATCAACCTGTTAGATTCATGTTACAACCTGATAGACCTGCTGAAAGCTAGAATCTTTCTTTACCTCAGTAAATAGACGCATGCGCAGACCATCTGACAGAGTACACAACTCGTTGGAACACCGGATGTGTCATGTGAATTTTTCCCATCATATTTTTTGCTGCCAATTTAGACTGTTGAATTTAAATCAAAAACATTATTAAATTGATAATGATAACTGAAATTCGCAGACAAAATATTCAAGATTTTAAAAACATTCAAATAGATGAATTCAGGTCCAATTCAATTTCTGATGGAACAAATAATCCGCCTTGTCTTTATAAAAAAAAGGAATATTTAAATGTGAATATGTTGTTTTTGAAATGTTAATCATTGAAATTTGTAAATTGATTTTTTTGTGACTGAAATGCAAAGACAAAAAAATTGCTAAAAGCAAACATGCTTTTTCAGGGTTAACATTTTCAAATGAAAAAATTCAAGCTAAAAATTTCAAAATCTGATGACACAACAAATCTTCCATAGTCCACCTTGAAACCAGTTATATTATATATACAGAATAATTTATATTTTGTAATGGCTTGAATAATTAGCAAGTTGAGTCAGCAGTAATGACAAATTTGAGTCTGATTCACCGTCTGATTACAGAATCAAAGCCACAGTAGATAAATATACAAACTTGAAAAAATGCTCTGGATTCATGGCTTACAGTTTCCCGTTTTGTGTCCTCACCTGACTGCTTTGCTCCATGAGGTCTCTGAGCAGCTTGACATCTTCCTCCAGCTGATCCTGAGTCAGCGATGGTGCGATTTCAGCTTCTTGCACTAACACACAGGGACCGACAAGAGACTGTGACTCCTCCTGTTGCGACTCACTCTCAAATATAAAGAGATGGGGCTTGGGTGTGGCCTGTTCTGTGGGTGGAGGAATGTCCTCTTTGATTGTCTCTGGTACTACATGATCAGAGGTGCTGGCTTCATCAGGGGCAAAAGAAGTAGTAGGAGCAGTAGTAGTAATTATAGCAGGAGTGGCAGAAGCACTTATAGCAGTGGCAGTCTGTGGATTGCGTTCCGGTTGTGTGGAACTGGATTGTTTCAGGTGATTTGCTGAAGCCGATACATCTGCATCGATTGAAGAACCTAAAACAGCCTCTGTGGACGTGCTCCGTGGAGTTTCAAACTGGTCACAGTCAGACTGAGAAAAAAAGGGAAATATATTATACATATAAAACGCCATGACAAATCAAGGAAGCCTACATACATCCCAAAATAGGATCTGGAATAACAGAACAGAATGGCTCTGAAAACACAGCAGTCCAAAGCTTGAAATGGTTTGTTCCTTTAAACGTTCTTAAAGACGTCCTCGAAAGCAGAAAGTGCATACCTTCAACTGAGCAGAGCTCTGACTGCAGACACTGCTCCCTCATGAACAAATGTGAAGGGGGTTACGCAGACTGAACTCAATCAAGAGCTTTGCCTTTCGACTCAACATGCTTAAGAAATAAATAATCAGACTACAATTCTGTGCTATTCCTGACCACTCAGGTCCTAGTGCATACAGAGCCAGCATATCCAGTTGAGCAGAGGGGGCTTTTTCAAAGATGTCTCATTAGTACTCAAATTTCTTAATTGTAACTAGTTGTAAATAAAATTTGTTCCTGAAATCAAAAACAATTTGCTGCAACACGAGCAGAGGGACCTCATCGCTCTGATCAAAACGAGTGAGTCGCCAATACACTTGGAGAGGGATGAAAGGGAAGAATGACCCCCCTGATCTGAACCCGAGCGGTGTTCAGTTGTTGGACTTCTGTGCTAGTCACAGTTTGTCCTTCACGAACACCATGTTCAAGCACAAGGGTGTCCACCAGTGCACGTGGCACCAGGACACCCTAGGCCGGAGGTCAATGATCAACTTTGTTGTCGTATCATCTGAATTTCGGCTGCGTGTCTCGGACACTTTGGTGAAGAGAGGGGCGGAGCTGTCAACCTATCACCACCTGGTCCTGAGTTGGATCCGCTGGCAGGGGAGGAAGCCAGTCAGACCTGGCAGACCCAAGCGTGTAGTGACCCAAGCGTGAGGAACGTCTCGCTTAGCCCCCTATCAGACGGACTTTCAACTCACACCTCCGGAGGAGCTTCTCCCAGGTCCCGGGGGAGGAGCGGGACATTGAGTCTGAGTGGACCATGTTCTCCACCTCCCACCATCAGCGATGCAGCAGCTCGTAGCTGTTGTCGCAAAGTCTCTAGTGCTGTCCTATCGAGCCATGAAGGTTCGTGGGACTCCTGAGCCAGCTGTCCAGTTTCGGCAGGACAAGCCGCTGCCCGGGCTGTTGCAGAGGCAAAGACCCGGGACTGGGAGGAGTTTGGAGAGCATGACCGAAGTCAGAGCTGCTTTCGCATTGCCGACAGTAAGTCCGATCTGTTCCCGGTGCATTTTGGCCTTCGCCAAGGCTGCCCTTTGTCACCGGTTCTGTTCACCGTCTTTATGGACGGAATTTCTAGGAGCAGCCAGGGGCCGGAGGGGGTCTGGTTCGGAGACCACAGGATTTTATCTCTGCTGGTTGCGGACGATGTTGTCCTGTTGGCTCCAATGAACCAGGACCTGCAACATGCACTGGGACGGTTTGCAGCCGAGTGTGAAGCGGCTAGGATGGGAATCAGCACCTCCAAATCTGAGGCCATGGTGCTCGACCGGAAAAAGGTGCCTTGCCCTCTCCAGGTGGGTGGAGAGGTCCTTCCTCAAGTGGAGGAGTTAAACTTTCTCTGGGTCTCGTTCAAGAGTGAAGGAAGGATGGAGCGTGAGATTGACAGGCGGATCGGTGCAGCGTGTGCAGTGATGCGGTCCATGTATCCCTGGGGAGGTGTTCCGAGCACGTTCCACCGGGGAAGACCCAGGACACGCTGGAGGGACTATAGGGCCGTTTCCACGGACCCGACTCTACTCGACTCGACTCGATTCGGCTCAACTCGACTCGGTTTGAGAGCGTTTCCATCGGCCCTGTGTATCTGTGGCAACGCGTTACCTAAGGGGCGGTCACCTCTGGAGGTGCTCACAACAAGCGCAATGGATGAGGCAGAGCAGCTCTTCTTTTTATGCATTGCGTTGTGGGTCTACCTTAGCCACAAATTTAAAGAAGACAGTAGAAGACGACTGGCGACAGCCAGAGAGAACACCCACAAGAAATACCGACGCGTCTGGGAGACTTTACAGCGGTATTCAGCGGAAGATGCCATCGCGCAAACTGTCAAAAGAAGACGTTTGAAGGTACGTAACCTAGTAGTTTCTCTACAGGTGCACTTTTGCTTTTAGTTGCGGCAAAACGCAGTCGTTTAGTTATCGTAAATATATACAATGGTACGGTGTTTTATTTGTGTTGAGCGAACGATGCAACTCATAGCGGTTAGCTTGTAACTCTTTATGTTGTTGTGGACACAAACTGAATAAACCATAAAGCAACTGCAACTACGCCTAGCTAGTTTGTTACTCCACACATATTAAAGTCTGATTCAATAGCTAACTAGCTATTATTAGTGTTAAAAGGGTGTTAACAAGAAGGCAAGTTACCTAATTGATTATATTCACTTTTAAATTAACGTTACAAGTCTTGCTATAATTATAACACTGTAATTCTACTATTGTGTATTAACCTTTTTAGTATATTTTCCTGGAGATAGCAACGGGTACAGGATTTAAATGAATTGTATTGAGACTTTTGATAAATGTACAATTGAGGATATGATAAATAAATACACTTAAATAAATACAATAAGAAAGTTGTGTGTTACACACGTTATAGCAGCCTTTGTGTATATTGCTCACCACCATGTAGAGCTGATATTAACACCCTGTTTATCTTTTATTTGGGGATCAGTAACAAAACAATAGAGCATAGAGCATGGGGTGGGAGAGTCAGTAAAGTGACAGTAAAATGAGTGATTAAGCATCTATCAATGCTTAATCTTAATCTTAATATTACTATACGTCTGTTTCAGATGGCAACATTTGGGTCTAGAGAGGCTCGCCAAGCTCCGTTGGTGTGGAGCTTTAACCGGGCCTCGCAGTGGTGGGATGAGGTGGTTCCCAAATTCTCTGCTGAGCAGTGGGTCCAGAACTTCCGCCTGTCAGAAGAGACCTTCTGCTTCCTCTGCCACAAGTTGCAGCCGTTTATGGAGCGGCAGAATACAGCCTTTCGTCTGTGTGTGCCGCTGAAGAAGCGAGTGTCCATTGCCCTCTGGAAGCTGGCTACTGGTGGCGACTACAGGACCATTGGACATCTATTTGGTGTCAGTAGAGCAACAGTGTGCCGCTGTGTTCAAGTGAGTATTTTCCTTTTTTTATTACAGACCTCACCCTCAGAAAATATTGGTGCTCTAACAACTAAAACTCACTTTATGAATGTAAATAAAGAAAAGTTATGCAGTGTTCCATATTAAATACATTAAAAGAGGTTAGATATGGATCGTCTAAGTACAGGTCTAATCTATTTAATTTATTCAAACACTGTTTCTGTCTTGAATAAAAACATTTATTTTGCCATTTTCTTAGTTTTCTTTTCTTAGTTGATCGTGATTTAAAACTGGCTGGGACTTCTTTAGACATAGCTTATGCAGATCAGTATAATTTGGTTAAGCATCTTGTTTTCTTCTTGCACACAAAATTATTACTGAAACAAATACTCAGAGTATGTTGTCAGCCCATGGCAAAACAAGGTGCTTACAAATAAACAAATCAGTTAACTGAAATTATGAAATATTATTATGAAACTGTCTTATGTGTACCCTAATGTGTCCTTTGTTTTTAGGAGTTCTGTGCTGCAGCTGAGTCATCTCTGGTTCTTGAGTTTGTCCGTTGTCCAGATCAAGAGCGTCTGCAAACAATTGCAGAATATTTTGAAAACCGGTGGGGGCTTCCAAATTGTGTTGGTGCTGTAGATGGCTCACACATTCCCATTGTTGCACCCAAAGAATTTCACACAGACTACTTCAACCGCAAAGGATGGCACTCCATAGTCCTTCAGGCTGTGGTAGACGGCAAGGGCCTGTTTTGGAATGTGAATTCTGGGCAACCAGGGAGCCTCCATGATGCCCGAGTTTTAGAGATTATCAGCTTTGTGGGAGCTGGCCACTCAGGGTCACCTTTTTCCAGCAAACCCTCGGGCTTTTGGTGGGATTACGGCAGGCTACTATATTTTAGGGGACTCTGCCTATCCATTGCAAAATTGGCTCCTGAAGCCATACAGCGACACTGGACAGCTCACCACAGATCAAATTAATTTTAACAAAAGGCTCAGTAGAGCCAGAGTTGTAGTGGAGAATGCCTTTGGTAGACTTAAAGGTAGGTGGCGCTGTCTACTTAAAAGAAATGACTGTGATGTTGAATTAGTCAAGTCTATGGCGGTGGCGTGTTGTGCCCTACACAACCTCTGTGAGACCCATGGTGAGCAGTACCAGGTAGAGTGGGATGCTCCAGGCCCTGTAGAAGCAACTCAGCCAGCTGGGGTAATGGCACAGGACACAGAGGAGGGAGGCAAGGAAGTCAGAGATGGCCTAATGCAACATTTGTTACATAACTAATAATATAATATTGTAAATTAAGTTGTAAATGTGTAGTGTAATGTTCTTTTGTATATTTTATATTGCTGGATATTGTTATTATTATTATTATTTTTTTTGCACAAGAGTTCATATTTGGTTTCAATGTATCTTTTGCTTCTGTCACATCTTTCAATCAGCTTTTTCAGACAGAAGTAAACATTCATACAAAAATACTTGTCTCCTCTGATTACTTTTCTTTTGAATTACCATAATTTTGTTTCTGTCTTATCAATATATTGTTTGTCAGAATGTGTTCTTTAAAGATTGTTTTATGTATAAGTGACTGCAAGTTTAAAACGTTGCATATGAATATCCACTGATGGTCGCAAATGAACCTTAAAGTTTGCAGAATTCTTGTTACTGCACAATTTGAAAGAAATACCACTTATTCACATAGTACATGATTATAAATTGCTGTAAACATAGCTCATGCTAATTTTTTTATGTAAGTGAAAACATTTTAATTTACAAACAAAGAAATCAAGTAATATACATTCTATATACATCATATATTATATTATAGGGAAATATTACAATTAAATTAACAAAATTCTGATCTAGCTTCAACTATTTCTATTATAAAGGTTGTAGTCCACCAAC